TTTCTTGCCGCTCTTTTTTTGTCTTGGCCACCTCAGGCGGTCTTTTGGAAGTTGGCCTAATTAAAACAGTTGAAAGAGTCGAAAACTGGCTCTGATCTCGATCTGGGTTACGGAGTCGGAAACCCCGGGCAGGGAGATCTTCAAAAGGCGCGAGCTAAACAAATTTGGACGGCACAGCAGGCGATGATTCTCAGTTCCCGTTGAGAACAGTTCCCAGTTACCAGTTCCCTGATCCCTGATCCCAATTCTCAGTTCCCTGATCACAGTTCCCATTTCGGATGTGGATGCTTCCCCTTCCTCCTGGTCGAGTTCACAGCGGGCGCTATCAGCAAATGGCACTGCAGGTTCAGCACCTTTTATCTACCTCAGCTCAGTCGCTCAGCTCTCTCATTCTCACCTAGCTGCCTCTCTCTCTCTCACTCTTTCTCCAGCTCTTTCTCCATCTCTTTCCATCTACTCGAGCGGCAACAAGTTGGGCACATCAATCGGAGGCGGTGTCATAATTTTCACAGCAGGTGTCGTCGCTAATGATTTACAATGGGTTCGAGGGGGGAGGGGAGAGTATAGCCAGAGAATCCACAAGAGAAATAGAGGGAGATGCTCTGCACTTTGTTGCATCTTCCCGCTTCCTCCCTCTCCTCTCTCTGTCGTCGGCAAACAACAATAAAAATGTGAAAAATCTAAATTCGATGTGGTGGACCTTCGGTGTCGCTCTCCGTTTGATGTCGATTCCAAAGACCAATTCATTATTCATCAGTTTGCATTGTTTAGGGGGTATGTCCAGCGTCCAATGTCCATGGGCGTCTGCTGTGTGGGGGGCGTTGCAGTGGCTAATTTGCCTCCGGGTTGGGACTGGGTTGGGATGCGTTCCAGACCAGCGCCAGTGGCGCCATTGGCGTCCCCCCCTAGGGTGCCTGAGTGCCAAACAAATTGTTAACTTTTGTGATCCGATTCGATATGGATTCGGGCGATTCCGGTGGTTAAAAGGTTTATGATCTGAGTTTAAAGGGGGTTTCTTTACTTGAAGGGAGATGGTATTAGTAGTATCTGCTTTTGTAATGATTTAACTAGAGCAGGGTTGCCCAGGGATAAGATTTACGGCTCAGCTTGGGCACTAGTCAGTAGGCAGAGAATGTAATATAATTTGGTACCTAAATAGGAGTTAAATAATTATTAAGCCAAGTCCCATAATTTGTTTATGTTTTTATATGTGATAATAATATGTATAATAATAGTGGATCTCAGCAACAGGGGACTTGGGGGTCAGCAATTGCTCTTTTCAGTATTGTACATGATGAAAAGAATAAAAAATTGTATCTAATTCTAACATATTTTGGAGTAGGTGCATATATAGGTACATAAAATATATATTTTTCGTAGTGATAATAGGGCACGGTTTCTTGACTAGATAGTCTTTAAGGTCGTTACAGTATTTTATATAATAAAAACAATACAAATGTGTACCTAATTCTAACATATTTTGAAGTAGTTACCTATTTTTCAAGTCATAATAATTTTCAAAATAATATTATCTTCTTTTTCGTGGATATACTAGGAAATGTAGGCCAAGGTTTTTTTAATCAATAGTCTTTAAGTGCCTTAAACAGTATTATACATAATGTTAATAATTTAGCAATTATAATTTTGTACCTTAATCGAACCTCTTTTGTAGTTAAATACCTTACATAGTTAACAAAATACGTTTTCTATGTTTTTATACATAGTAGTTTGATTATTTTTATTTTCTAAAGTCTCTGCATATAATTTAATGTTATAATTTCGAACTTTAAAGGAGCCTCGTTCGATAGATTATCCTGAAATCGATCAAAAAGCCTGATCGATTAATCAAATCGAGTTGCATTTTAATTTTTTTGCCCCAGACTCTGCTGACTGACTAACTAACTGACTGACTTGCCTGCCTCGATATCATTTTGTATAATTTTCATGCCACACACACACACACACACACACACAACACACACCCCACACACACACACACATACACATAGACAGGCCATTACTCATACGCGCAGTTGCACGACGTTGAAATTGCTCCAATTAAGTGTGTGCTTTTTTCGGCCTGGCATCGTTTCGGTTTTATTTCGTTTTGTCTGGGTTTTTGGCTTTGGTTTTTGGCTTTGGCTTTTGGCTTTTGTCTGGGGCCAAAGTAGTTCGGTGGCTCGATTCCACGGGGGAACTCACGATTCGAATGGGTGATGTCATTAGGCTGCCAAAGCACCTGTCCAGGGTCGGGATGCGCAGAGTTTGCAATTGAAAAAAAAAGCGGCAGCGACATAAACGTGCCACAGATCCAGAAAATAAGCAAACATCACACAGTTGAGCTCAAAATAATGGAACTATAGTCTTATTTAATTTATAAAAAATTATTTTAAATTTTTTTTTTAGAAAACAATATTTTTAAAAAACCTATAAACTATAGTTTTATTTAAAAATGTTATCAAATCCCTTAGAATTCGTAGCATTTTCTAAGTCAATTCCCTTGACCATAGGTGTATAGAAAGACAGAGAGGGAGAGAGAGAGAGAGGGCGTACCTGGGGGTGGGCTGTTGCAGGGGTTCCCCCCACACATCCCACCCGAAACTCCCGCGATTCCTGGAGTGGCCAATTACCGCTCGAAATAGCAGCTTCCGCGGAGGCTCTCTGATCCCGATCTCCGGCTGATTTTGATTGCTGGTTGCCAGCAAGTCCACCACTGCACCACCACCACACCCCTTGCGAAAAAAACGGTAAAAGCTCGAAACTAGGCAACTGTAAATCGCTAAAGTCGGACCAAGTCAGTAAACTATTAACTTAATTTTTTTGGACAACTCGACGAGGCCACGACTACTGGGCACAAGGCACTTGGAGAAAAATCGTGGTTGCATTTGGAGAAAATTATTGAAATCAAAAGGGTGAAGAAGAAAGAACAATCCTTAAAATTTAATCCTTCGATTTAATCGATTAATTGCTTGTTTATAAGATACTTTCCCATTTTAACTAAATAATGCAAAATAATTTATATTTAATTCTTTCAAAACGCCCTTAAAAAAGTAAAAATCTATTAATAAATAAACAAAATGTATTATTAATTAATTGTTAATTTCTTAGTTAATCGATTTACTGATCGATAATACAATTTCTTATAATAATAAAACAATTTATCCCTAAATACTGTAAAGAAATAAAAATACCTACAAAAAATTACAAATCTATTAAATCCATTAAAAATATTTAACATTTAGTAGCAATATTAATTCTTACAGATAATCGATTTATTTATCGATACTGAAATAATATTTAAGATATGTAAAACGTTAGGTATTATTTTACAGTCGCTTTTGTAAATTCAAAAGAAATACTTTCAGAACATAGTTTTTCCTAAGAAAAAATTTGAATATAATTAGTGCAGATCGATTTTCGATTAACGATTAATTTTGGCTTGCTGTGCATCGGGCGAGTTGATTGAACAACTTTTACGTTATTGGCCAAAGTTGCTTAACTTGTTGTTGACAATTCTGGCCTTATTGTTGCTGGAGTGGCTCTTGTTGTTGTTATTGTGTTAGCTGCTGGTGCAGCAACAACAAATCATGCAGCTGGCATCCATGAAATGTGTTTGATGAGGATCGGTAGACCACAGATTGGAGAATCCTTCCTGAATCCTGAGGCATCATCATCGACCTTCGTCAATTGGCCAGCAATTTCGAAGGAGAGAGAGAGTGAGAGAAATGAGGGTTGAAAGGTGAAGTGTCGGCATTCGGAGTCGCTAGACAAAAAGCGGAATTGAAAATTAGTTTTGGCCAAGTCAGTGAGCCACCAGAAAAGGAAGAATCCCCTTTCGCGCCGCCTTTTAATGACTTCCTCCCGACTCCGTTTTGTGGGATTATAAATGTCTGTGGGAAACGAGGGTCTTTGGTAGCAAGTCGATTGACTAATACTCTGGCCACAAAAAGGTTCAAAAAATAGCTGTCAAAGGCCATATTTCTAACAACTTAATTGGAGTTTAAATAAATTTTAAATCTTGAAATGTATATTCATTTAAGGGTAATGAAGTATGTGAAATTGTGGCAGTTGTAACACTTAACACATGAAATGCGAACAAAAACAGATTTATTTAGGTGGAAAAATGTTGAATTTAAAGTTGGAAAAAATATATAAGACATGGTTATTATTTTTTTAAGCACTACATAGTAATTTATAACAGTAATAAAATATTTTATAAGGAATTTTATTAATTATTATTTTTATTCCAGTATAAATACGATTTTACTCAAAGTTTTTACGTCTTAAAATATTATTTAATTTAATTTTTTTCTTAATTTAAAATAATTTACAATTCTTTAAAAATGATTTTGTAATTATTTTTCTTGATTTAGTATATATCTTTAGTCCCATAAACTCATTCCAAGTCAAAGAGTATCTGGCGGCAGCAAGGAGACCGTAAAAAAGCGGCTCGTTCGCAGCGCTAAAAGGGAATTTCTCGAGTTTTGATTTACGTGGCGAATTAATTTTGTGGGCTGCTGTTACCCCTTACTCCCCCCTCTCAACGCCTTAACCCTATTATATATTTTATTTTTTTTGGCAGACATTAGAATCCGTTGGCCGCAAAGAAAACAAAGCAAACCGTGGCAGGAAGCGAAATTGAGCTCGACTAATTCGCATTTAAGTAATTTGCAAAATTCGCGCGAACGGGAGTTAATTAAGAAATGCAAGCATGGGGAATTTAAAAACCAAATATTTATAAATAAAATAGAATATAGAAAAGATATAGAAGTTTACAGGATTTTATAAAGATTTAGAGACAGATATAAACAAGGAAATGGAATTTACTGGAGTCTTTTTCCTGCTCAACAAATCTTTAATTCTTAAACATTTAATTTTTTGTATAAGAAATATGTTAAGAATTGTCAAAAAAAAAAAAAATAATTTTATTTTAATATATTATTTAATTGTATATTTTTATTTTTAAAATATTTATTTATCAATTTCCTTTATAATTCCAGGACCATCCGAGCCTGAGAGGCACCCCCTTGGCCATGCTGGCCGCCCAGTGCAACAAGCTCTCCAACAAATCCCCGCCACCGCTGGCCGATGCCGCCGTGGGCAAGGGCTTCCATCCGTGGAAGAAGAGTCCCAACTCACCGGCGGCGGGCAGCAGCGGCGGCTCCTCTGGCGGCGGTGGTGGTGGTGGCGGCGGCAGCAGCGTTGGCCAGCATTCACCTTGCGCTATCTCGGCGGCCAGCTCTTCGAGCTCCAGTGGCAGCACCAGCGGCGGCGGTGGTCAGTCGTCCAGGAGTTTGTCCTCCAGTGCCAGTACCATGGTGAACATCACAGCTAGGTAAGCAGACAGGCGGCGCACAGCGGTCCTCAAAGGATAAGAGGACCAAGTGGTGGCAGTGGATCCCAGTAAATGATGGAGAAACGACTCCATTAAGTGACATTCAAAGGGATATCTAAGAAAGGGGAGCCCCCCAGGAGAGTTCCTAGCCACCATCTATGTCCTTCGTATCCTTTCCTGGATCGCTGTGCGCGGTTAGCCGCAGCAGCTTGGCCCTATACGACTCGCGAGTAATTTCAGCATCTATCCTTACAGTCGCCCCCTGGCCTCCTCCTGCGCGGCGGTGGGCGGAGGATCCACCGGCAGCTCCTCCTCCGCCTCCGCCGGTTCGCAGTCGTCCGCCTCGGCAGCGGCGGCAGCGGCCGCTTACGGCGGAGACTTGTACTTCCCAAACACCTCGACCTCGACCACAATGGATAACCACCACATGCACCAGGGCCTTCTTGGCAAGGTGGAGGCCGGTGCGGCTGCCTTTGGCGGCGTCTATTCGCGCCATCCCTATGATTGGCCCTTCAATGCTGTCACCCACAAGGAGGCAGCGGCGGCCAGCGTGAACTCTGGATGGTGGGACATGCACAGTGCCGCCGGCTCCTGGCTGGACATGGGCGGTGCCGGGATGCATTCCACGATGGCTAACTATGCCAGCGAGAACTACAGCTCGGCGCTGAGCCACTCCCTGCTTGGATCTGGCCAACATCTGCTCCAGGACACGTACAAGAGCATGCTACCCGGCCAGGGTGTGGGCGTCGGTGTCGGCATGGGCGTGGGTGTCGGCGGTGGCCTGGGTGGCGGTCTCGGTGGCTTCTCGCTGCCGCATAGCTCACCATCGGCTGCAGCGGCAGCGGCGGCCACAGCGGCAGCAGCGGCTGGTGGATCACCACAGGGTGGATCACCATCGACGCCGTCGCCAAGGTCACAGCGAAGGTATGCGGGCAGGGCGACCTGCGATTGCCCCAATTGCCAGGAGGCGGAACGTTTAGGGCCGGCCGGTGTACATTTGCGAAAGAAGAACATCCATTCGTGCCACATACCCGGTTGCGGCAAGGTGTACGGCAAGACGTCCCATCTGAAGGCTCACCTGCGGTGGCACACCGGCGAGCGTCCCTTCGTGTGCAACTGGCTGTTCTGCGGCAAGCGCTTCACGCGCTCCGACGAGCTGCAGCGCCACCTGCGGACGCACACCGGCGAGAAGCGCTTCGCTTGCCCCGTGTGCAACAAGCGCTTCATGCGCAGCGACCACCTGGCCAAGCACGTGAAGACGCACAATGGCACGGCTAATCACCAGGCCAACGGTCTGAAGAAGGGCTCCTCGGAGTCGTGCAGCGATTCCGAGGAGGCCGCCAACCAGTCGGGCGAGTCCAACGGGCTGGGCGGCGTGGGCAGTGGCCCTCAGACGGGCGGGGCCGGCGGCGGCGGGGGTGGCGTTGGCTCCACTGGACCGGTAACGGGACCCACCTCATCCACAACCACTGGCCCCTCCGGTCCCGGCTCTAGCTCTAGCTCCGGCTCGAGCGGCGGGGCCGGTGGCGGTTCTGGTGGTGGCGGTGGTGGGGGTTCCGGTTCCGGTTCCGGATCCGGCAGCCATCCCGGCACCCCGACCTCGCTGCACGCGCACAGCGCCAATGGCACGTCCAGCAGCCTGCTGGGCGGCGGTCTGCACCTGGCCACGCCGCACCAGATGGTCGCCGCGGGCGGTTCGCCGGTGATGCTTCACCAGCAGCAGCAACAGCACCTTCAGCAGCAGCAGCAGCAGCATCATCAACAGCAGCAGCAACACCAACAGCAGCAGCAGCAGCAACACCAGCAACAGCAGCAACATCACCAACAGCAGCAGCAGCAACATCACCAGCAATTTGGCCAGCAGCAGCATCCCCACGCCCATCACCTGCACCACCACTCGCACCATCCGCACCACCTGGCCGGTGGATCGCCAGGACTTGATCCCAGTTCCCTGGTGGATATAAAGCCGCCCATGGTTTGAGGGTCGCTGGGACCCTTCCTATTCACCAACTGAGCGGGATTGGGTTCCAAATAATTGAACAAAAAAAATACAACATTAAATATAGCACACACCACATAGGGAGTTTATATATATCACAAACACACACATACACACAACACACACACACAGCTATGTGTAGAGTTTTTGGCGGTTGTACATATAGCCAGCCGATGCAGATGTCTGTACATAATTCAAGGCCCCGCTCTATGTGTCTAAAGAAAAAATAACCACAGTATACATATTGCTTGTAGCTTATGGTAGCCTAAGCCATCGTAAAACCTAGATCGATCCAATTTTTTTTATGCATTTTTTTTTTTAAACTAGCCCTATGGATATGTAATTTTTTTCATAGGTCCTAAGAGTAAATATATATATATTATAAATCGTATATCGTACGACATTAACCAACAGACAAGCTTCGAGCACCACAACTCTAACTATTTGTTGAACAATTATGCAATTCTAAAGAAAAAAAGGAAACTTAAATATTTGAATATATATATGTATTTTATATATGATAATGAGAAAGCTTAAAATGAGAGGGGGGATATAAAAACAAAAAAACATCATAAATATATTTCTAGTCCAATTATAAAAGTGTGAGCGAACCAAAATTGTAAAAAGCTAAAATGATCATTGAAAAGGTAACCGGAAAGAGGGGCCTCTGGTACTCCTGTAAATTTAGCGTATATATGTATATGTATGTATGTCCCCGGCACATTTATTTCCGCTAAAAACTAACCCACTGAGACGACGAGGAGAGGAGAGGAGAACGAGGAGCAGCTCGAGGAGGAAGGACCTTAGACGCTAGTGCTTTAACCCAATCTAACTTAAATCCCAAATCTAAAATAAATGTGTTTTGTTGTTTTATTTGAAACTAGGCTTAGAGCAGATACTTAGATACTTAGCACACCCACAGCACACACACACCCACACACATACACACACACACACACAATTGAAGCAACAACCGACAACGGCTGACAAAATCAACGACAACTGGTGTTATATATATTTATAAAAAATATATATTTACGGCTTGGCAAGTTCTCGGTTTGCTAGCCGCATCAGCAATTTATCATCTTCGATTACTACTACTTTTTTTTTGTCTATGTAAATTAATTATTTAAAATACGAATAAACTATTTAAATTTCATTCAAAATAAATGTACAACAAAACGCTCCATTCGGACTTATTGCAAAGGGGGGGTTTTGGGGGGGTGTTACAAGGGTTTTTTTTTTTTGTCTAAATCAATTTGGCTGGATTGTATACATATGTGTGTGTTCTACACATGGAGAAAAGGTATGTAGAAAAGAAACCCAGAAAAGGGGCTTCAAGGAATAAATACTTGAGAATTATAAGCCGTAATACTGCAAAAATATTTTTTATTAATTTTTTTTTATAATTATTATCATTATTTATTTATTTTTTAATATTAATATTATTATTTTATTATTTATTTCTTTTTTAATTTTTATATTTTACGATTGAAAAATAATTTACTAGCTAGAAAATACGTCATCTTGTTTCAAATCTTTTCTAGAATTTCTTTCTCCAGAATAAATACTTGAGAATTATAAGCCTTAATGCAGCAAAAATATCTTTTATTTATTTATTATTATTACTATTTATTTTTTATTATTATTTATTTATTAGTATTATTTATATATTATTATTAATTATTTAGTTATATTAGTTTTAAAAATAAATAAATAATAAAAACATAATTATTTATTATTATTTATTTATTTTTATAACTATTTTTATTATTTTATTATTTTCTTTAAACATATTTCTTTTAGAACCCTCTGTATAATTTTGCTCAGTGCATTTCTATCAATCGTTTTATCCGCAATAAGCGTAAAATATGTTTCTCTGATTGAGGGTGGTTAGCCAGATTTTTTGGGGATGCTGCTGGGCTTCCTGTTGGTCCTCTGGCTCGCCATCTCATCATCATCTCGCCACCTCCTCAGCTCTAGCTGGTCGTTAACGACTTTTAACGCTCTTGATCTTGGGCGGCGGGGGAGAGGTTAAAAGGTCAACCCTCGTCCTGATGTGTGTGAGTGATTTAAATTTTATTACCGTGGATTCGCCGCACCCTCTTGGAACCCTCGGTATCTGAGAATCTGGGAATCTGGGAATCCTGGAACAGATTGCCCATGAAGTGGGTGCAGATTGTTTTTATATATGCGACTGGATTACGCTGCGCAGTTATTTTTGCTTTTATTTTTTCTGGTTCCCCCAATGTTTTGACATTCCCAAAAGGGGGCGGTAAAAGGGGGCGGCAATGGGTGGGCCCCCGGGGGTAAAAACAATTTGCCAGGGCAATGAATTGAAGATTCACTTTTTTTTGGGTGGCAAATGAATAAGAGCATCTCACAGCGACGGCATTATATAGAAGGGAGAGCTCTACATTAGACAGAAACCAGGGAAAGATGCTCAATTTAAGTTCACTTAAAGCATTAGGGGATTAATATCTATTATATTTATAAAAATTAAATGGATTTTCAGGGTAATTAATATATTTTAGGGAGGTATAATATGGATATTGATTGTAGGAATAATACAGAATGTGCATAGAAAGTGTAAAAGTTAAATACGATATTTGTTGGTAAGGAATAAATGAAAATTTAATAGAAAAAAGTTTAGGAAGTTATATATATAACATATAAAATAAAATCTTATAGATTTACATATTCCCAAAATTAATTTCTGAACATAAATCAAAAGGCAACTTAAAGTACGAGTGTTTGTTCCTGGAAGGATGCTCAAGTGCGTGGCATTTAAATGAGGCAACTCACTAGGATATCGTCTGAATTCTGGACTTCTTGAATCCTATACTCCTGTTTTCTGCTTTCTGCCTTTCTGCTCGGGTATTTTGTGTCACATGGTAGCCGCATCCTGCTGTGCTCTTATCCTTGTCCCCCCCCCGCAATAGTCGGATTTCAAAAGAGCGCCAGAGCAAGTTGTAAATTAAAATAATGAAAAATACAAACACACATACGGAGGACGGCAGAGGGGGGGCTGTGAAAAAAGAGATAGCTGGGCGACATAAAACAAAGGCCAGGACATGCGTTTGGCATCGGCTTGCAAAGGACATGGGTTGGCTCGCTATGCAGTGGAAAAAGGAAAATAAATCAGAGGTGAGGGCACGGGCACCCTCGTTGGCGGATGATAAACGAGCGACACTGTGGCGGCGCTGACAAAATCATTAGCAGCAAACTTTAATTAAAATATGATTTTCATTTTCACACATTTGAGCGGAGTTAGGCGCCAGAAAGGGGGATCTTGGATCTTGGATCTCCATCCTCTTCAGTGGAGTGTCAACACAGCGACGGGCGAGAAATGCCAATGGCATCTTAAGAATCTTTTAATGGTTGCCACGCCCCCGACGTGCCGGCCCTCCGTTCACAAATCTTGTTCACACATTGTTTTCATTAAGCAAAAAAATGATATGCGCACAGTAAATATTTAGCATACCCTGTAAATAATTACAAATAATATGGGGTATGCTAAGCAGAGCAAAAATAAATTGCATATTTTGAAATTAATTAATTTTTAAAGGATTAAAAGAGCACAAAAAAAAATAGTAGAAAGTAAATTTAAAAAATAATAAATAAAGATGAATATATAAAAATCGAAATATATCGCATTTAAGGTTATCGATATATTAATAGCAATGTAAAAATATTTATGTTAATATTGGTTTTCGGCATATCAACATTTTTCACTATTTTTTTTATTTACAGTTTTTAATATAAATATCAATATCACATTGAACATAACGTAAATTTTGATATATCGAATATTTAAATATCGAATTTAGTGTTAAAACATCGTTATTTTGGATATTTTTAAAAGAGCTGACCAATATTAAACACAATATTGGTTTTTTAAACATATATACTATACGCTAATGTTCTAAGTAAGAACTTTAATTGATATATCGGTCTGAGCATTAAATATCGATAATGTATCGGTATATTGCTAATTTAGTTTAGTTTAACTCACTTCCCTATAATAAAACTCTAATAAAATGTTAATTTTAAATTGATTTCTTACATTTTAAATATTATATGTTGTAGTTTATATATCATTTCTTAAAAACTCTTTAATTCCAGGGTATTCAGAGTGTCGCATAATTTCCTTCTCCCCATCATTGAGTTATTTGGTGGTTCGACTGAATGGAGACCCGTGATTCGAGCGACGTTTTTTTTGGAGTTTATTTGGAGCATCTCCGTTGTTGTTCCAACATCTGTTTGCATTTGACACGATTATTTATGTTTATCGCGCGTTAAATGCGCGCTATTATCAGCATAATAATCGTAATTAAAAGCCAACTAATTTATGGCACTGATTTATGCCGCGCTCTCTTCACGGATTCCTTGGATTCCTTTTTCGTTTCCTTGGGATATACATATATGTATGCCATGTGACTTCTCAATTCACTCGGTCTGGCGGTCTGCGGTCTGGCACTGCGCTGTTGTCGGTTATCCCGCTGGGCCAGGATAAGCGACCAGCAAGGATACCCGCTGGGTGTTTTAATCTCATTAACTGTCGACGCGATTGCGGCTTCATGTGACCTTTGATTACAAATGTTGTGTTGCGTTATATGAGCTCTGTGTGTGTGTTGTTGTTGTTGTTGTGGCTGCAATAACATTTAAGCAAATTGCATTTGTTGTCCTGCGGTTTCTATTATTATTATTATTTATTATTTTTCCCTTTTTTTGTAATTTTCGAGTGGCGCTAAAGTTGGGGTTGCGTGCGAATAGATAATGCATTTCTCCTTTAATAGGAGGTTGGGGTTCCCTTGGAAATAAGTTCCAATACATTTTCTGTTCAGAAAACCTTTAATACATATTGATAAACATTATGAAAGAAGTTTCTCTAATTATTTAAATAACTATTCCATTTGTCTGTACTTTTTTAAACAGTATTATAGTTATATCTTTCAGTTAAATTTAATTTTTCGTTTTATTAATTGTGCTAGGGTTCATATAAAAATCGATATTTTATTGCGATAAATTTGTATTATATTTTATATATAAGATACTATTATACTTATATATTATATTTTCTATTCGGTTAATAAGATAACTAAATATTATTTATTTATAAATCAATTATAAAAACGATATTTTTCGATTAATTTTAATTTTTATCACTTAACATAATATCAATGTTTACATGATTATAGATTATATCTATTCAATTTCAATAATTATCAAAACTTACAATATTTTCAATAGGATATTAAGCGTAACATTTTTGTTGATATATTATATCGAACTTTTCCTTTCTGTAAACATTCTTAGGTTATTTTTAGTTTTCTTTTTAAATGTGTTATAAGTTAACATTTTCAAACCATTTTAAGAGTTTTGTTCTCATAAAATCACTGCAAACTCTCCGTTATCCATAAGTTTATTATAAACTATTTCGTTTAAAACCCACCAATCATTCCGTTGTAGCTTTAAGGACCTTTAAAATATTAAAGTTAGGAGGGTAAGCTTTTTAATTTTTAAGAAATTACTATTAATCCAACCTAGGTAAGAACCGAGCTTGAAACTTGAGGTTTGAGGTGATAGACCTCATCATGGGTGCCGGGCAAAGCTTCTCGACTCGAGTCGACTCGAAAGCGACCTTTAAGGTGCGCGGTCCCATTCATTTGCAGTCATTACAAATTCCCCGCAGGTATTCCCAGCAAATGGCCTCAATTGTTGCCTTTTTAGCCACTAATTGCTCAATTAGTCGGTTGGCCCGGCCACATGACACAGGCCCCGGACCTGAACCGGAACCCGAACCCGAACCAAGCACCACCCCCCTTGGCAATAATTTAATGTAGAATAAACCATCAATACCTAGCTAACTCTAAATGCATATATATATATATATATATATAGTATATATATATATATATATAAGGTATATCCGCCTAATAAGTTCGTTAACAACTCTGCGAATGGTAATATTTAATTTCGACTGCGTCTCCAATTGCCGAACCTATCATTTGGAACTGCGTGCGTCCAGCGGAAGTCTCGAAAGGGTTGGGTTTTTTTCTTTGGGTTCTCAGGTTCACCCTTGCTGGTACAGTGGATACTGTTTAAAGGGAATAATTAAACAGGAAATAAAAACTGAAAAACTAACAAATAGCTTGAAATATTTCTTT